AGAAAGGGAAAGGAAAGGGGAGGTCCTGGAAGGGGAACGGGAAGTATGGGGGGGTCCTGGAAGGGGAAAGTGGGTCCTGGAAGGGGTAAATAGGTTAGGGGGTCCTGGAAGGGGAAAGAAAAGGAGGGGGATGGGAAGAGGTCCTGAAAGGGGAAAGGGAAGGGAAAGGAAACTCCGCCGTTGGGTTGAGGCCATCATTATTGGGTTGGTGGCCCCACAGTTGGGTTGGTGGCCCCACTGTTGGGTTGGGGCCATCACGGTTGGATCAGTGACCCCACTGTTGGGTTTGGGGCCATCATGGTTGGGTCGGTGGCCCCGCGGTTGTGTTGGTGGCCCCACAGTCGGGTTGGGGCCATCACTTTTGGGTTGGTGACCCCACTGTTGGGTCAGTGACCCCGCAGTTGGATTTGGGGCCCCACAGTTGGGTTGGTGGCCCCGCAGTTAGGTTGAGGACCATCACTGTTGGGTCAGTGACCCCACAGTTGGGTTTGGGGCCATCATTATTGGGTTGGTGGCCCCGCAGTTGGGTCAGTGACCCTACAGTTGGGTTCAGGGCCATCACTATTGGGTCGGTGGCCCCACAGTTGGGTTGGTGACCCCACAGTTGGGTTGGGGCCATCACTGTTGGGTCAGTGACCCTACAGTTGGTTTGGGGCCATCATTGTTGGGTCGGTGGTCCCGCAGTTGGGTTGGTGGCCCCACTGTTGGGTTTGGGGCCATCACTGTTGGGTTGGTGACCCCGCAGTTTGGTTGGTGGCCCCACAGTTGGGTCAGTGACCCCGCTGTTGGATTTGGGGCCCCACAGTTGGATCGGTGGCCCCACAGTTGAGTTGGGGCCATCACTATTGGGTCAGTGACCCCACAGTTGGGTCAGTGACCCTACAGTTGGGTTTGGGGCCATCACTGTTCGGTTGGTGGCCCTGCAGTTGGGTTGGTGGCCCTCCAGTTGGGTTGGTGGCCTCACAGTTGGGTTGGAGCCATCACTATTAGATCATTGACCCCACAGTTGGGTCAGTGACCCTACAGTTGGGTTTGGGGCCATCATTGTTGGATTGATGACCCCGCAGTTGGGTTGGTGGCCCTGCAGTAGGGTTGGGGCCATCACTGTTGGGTGGGTGGCCCCACAGTTGGGCTGGTGACCCCACAGTTGGATTTGGGGCCATCACTGTTGGGTTGGTGATTCTACAGTTGGGTCAGTGACCCCGCAGTTGTATTTGGGGCCCCACAGTTGGGTTGGTGGCCCCGCAGTTGGGTTGGGGCCATCACTGTTAGATCAGTGGCCATCACAGTTGGGTCAGTGGCCCCACAGTTGGGTCAGTGGCCCCACAGTTGGGTTTGGGGCCATCACTGTTGGGTGGGTGGCCCCACAGTTGGGTTGGTGACCCCACAGTTGGGTTTGGGGCCATCACTATTGGGTTGGTGACCCCACAGTTGGGTCAGTGGCCCCACTGTTGGGTTGGGGTCATCACTATTGGGTCGGTGGCCCCACAGTTGGGTTGGGGGCCCCACTGTTGGGTTGGTGACCCCTGCAGTTGGGTTTGGGGCCATCACAGTTGGGTCAGTGACCCCACAGTTGGGTTGGGGCCATCACTATTGGGTCACTGACCCCACAGTTGGGTCAGTGACCCTACAGTTGGGTTTGGGGCCATCACTGTTGGGTCGGTGGCCCTGCAGTTGGGTCAGTGGCCCCGCAGTTGGGTCGGTGGCCCCGCAGTTGTGTCGGTGCCATCTCTCCCACTGTTGGTCCCACAGTGCCACCGCCTCCATCCCATAACCTCCCCCTCTTTCTCCCCCCTCCCCCCCCGACCCCACAGATGTGGTTTTCTTCATTTACCTCTACCAGCGTTGGATTTATCGGGTCGACCCGACGCGCGTCAACGAGTTTGGGGTCAGCGGAGAGCAGCAGCAACAGCAGCAGCAGCAGAGGGTGCCCACCCCCCCCGCGCTGCCCCCCACCCCCCCCCAGGACAAGAAGAAGGACTGAGA